GAGAAACGAGCGATCTCTTATGTAAACAGATGCATATGAAAAATAATGCGATCATCAGCAATAGACAGCATATAAATGAAAATGGCATAATGTTACGGAGTACAATGATGGACGTGGTATATGTCTGTGCAAGCTTTGGAGGTGTTGATGGAAGCGATTTACTGGATTTATGCTTTGATAATCATACTGAATATTATCCAGATGTAGTTTTTGATAAAAATGTGATTTTCTCACCTTTTGGCTCAAAATTATACATTTTTATGAAACCTACCTATATTCAAGTGTTGATAAAACAATAATGCTTTAAGCTAGAATAAAACAGATTGTTTTGTTTAAAAGTAGAGGATCTTTATTTTGGTGTATTGCATTTGGTGTACTGCCTTGCAAATGAATGTCCCTTTACGATTGTGATCCTTACTACATCCGGAATGCTGAATCCCTGACAATTTTCAAGCGACAGCTGAAAACTCATCTCTTTTGAAGCTACTTGACTTCATCATCATCATCATTATAAAAAAAAATAAAAAAATTCTCTCTCTTTATTTATTCCTTCTCTTTCTAGCTTGTACTTATTTGAACAATGTCTAGAAACTTGGTATTACAAGCACTTCTTGTATCTGCCTCTTTAAGAAGAATCGCTTTATGTATCCCCAAATTGTAAGTCGCTTTGGATAAAAGCGTCTGCAAAATGACTAAATGTAAATGTAAATGTACTACATGCTCTAATGCATTAATACTGTATGAAAGTATTTTCTGCGTGAAATATCGTTTCCTAGAGTTGATATGAACTTACACTGAATGTTCGCTGGACGAACAGATTGGTTGATGGCAATTTAATTCTGCTACAGTTACTACTGACAGCTGATATAAATAATTGTAATCAATCATAATTCACTGTAATTATTTATATACTGTACATTTCCCTTTTGAGCTAATTTGCTATATTAGGAAGCTTCATTGGGAAACCAGCATCAAAATCGAAACCTAAACTGGTGATGTTTTCACTGTTTATGACATTGTTACCTATAAGTTCTCTTCCAACGCCCAAAGCGAGGCCATCTTTGATCCAGAGCACAACACCATGGTAACCAGGGATGGAGCAGGGGAGCGTGACCGGCTGACCAGCCACAACTACCAAGTCTTGAGGCTGCTGCGCAAACATGGCATTCACTCCTGAAACAAAAGAGACAGAAACAGAGACTTAAACTTTAATGTTTTAACTAACATTCCACTTTAGAGCTCCACAGACATCCATTAAGAAGTTGTTTAACTTTAATGTCACACGATCTAATTTAAAGAATTTATTCAATGAACAACTCTCAAGTACTCAAGTGTGATTAGCGCACAATGTTGAAGTGCACCAAGGGCCTCTCTTCAGCCTGTCAACACTGCATCTTTCACACAGAAAAATACCTAAAGCAAATGAAGTTGAACTCCATTAGAGATGAGTGGCCCGAAAAGGCTGTCAGCAATAATCTCTTGAGACCCCCTTTTTAAAAGAAAGGTGTCACAGATATGAGAACATAGAAAGAGAACGAGATGGAAAAATAGAGTGCAAAAACGACAGCATTCAGAATCAGCAGTATTTCTGTATCTATCCACCGGCGGGCACAAAGATACCAGAGCAAAGATACGTGTCACTTGGGGGGTCCAGGTTTGACTGGTTAGCATTGACAGCTGGCCCCAAAGATTTCTGTCTCCAAAGGGAATCTACAGTAGTTAGAAGACAAATGTCTTGTATTTCAGACTCCAGTGGTACATATTGCATGTGCAGTCACAAACATGCACGCTCAAAAATACAATGGTTGACATCAGCTATCAATATTGCAATGAGCTGTCTCAGTGGAGAGATGACGAGTTTCTTGCTGGCAGTACTGTATAATGGTAGTCACACTGGCAGTCATGCTGAACTCTGCAGCTGTCCCTGATGTGTGCCTATCTAGAATTGGAGAAGATGGCTCATATTGCTCATTCCACTCTAAATCTCAGTGTACTGTTTAATCAATACTCATTTATGTGGAACACTTACCACCCTCTCAGTTTGTTGATGCACTGTATGTGTGCGTGTTCGCAGAAATAAGCAAAATTTGACAAAACAGCCTATTGGGAGATGTCTTTGGCTTGTACTGTAATTACCATGTTGTAATTACTATGATATTGCCAAAAAAACAAGGCCAAAAACAATATTTAAAAAAGATCCTGATAAGTCAGTGTTTCTTTTTTAGTCAGTTTAAATGGTAAAGTGGTTCATAAAAATGTTTTGTTTTTCCCACCAAAGTGTAATAGAGGCGAGATTAGTGTTTAGTGGATATATTTTATTTTACTTTGTTTGCTTAACCTGTAAAAAGCTTTAGCAATGAATTAGAAGAAACAAAATAGTACTGCATTTTCTTTGTACTGTCAATAGGTTAAAGATTATGATGTTTAACCAATTTATTTGTTGCATATATGTCAATTACCTTATTTATGAGCACATGTACACCATCTGGACATAACTAGCTGTTTTTACTTATTCATTTAGTGCCTCACAGCTTGATAGCAGTTAAATAAACAAATAGTTCATCTTTTAAAATTACGTCTTGAGAACATTTTCTGTTCCGCTCCATCAAGCAGTTTATGAACACAAGAACATGCCGCATGTGAACGCACCGCAAGAAACACGAAGCTAATTCAGTATAATCATACAGGTTTGAGGCTGATTCATTCAGATGACCCACCGACAAGTCAATTATAAAAACATGTAATCTTGCACATTCCTGTTGGAGTTAGGGTCGGTCTGTAGTTATTATCTTTATTTGAAAACAGTTGGGCACTGATTCTCTGTTTAGTCAGCTATAGACACGTCTCTGCAGAGTGAGTATGTACTAATACCTATAAAATATGACATTTTCTAGATTAATGCTGAATTAAACACACAGGCAGAAAATAATTAATTGCCAGAATCCAGTAGGATGTCTTTAATGCTGCAAATTCCATGGATTAGTAAACAAATCAGTCATACCCCTGTCCTGCCTCCAGTAAAATGTGATGAATGGCTTGTTAAAAGCTAAACACGAGTCCACAGATTGATTTATACAAATTCTCTCTGGCGAAATCCAGCGTCTGCTGCTCCAACAAGCTATTATTAAATCAACAACCGCAAAGATGCACTATGAATTCTTATAAATATATTGGGCTGTTCATCTTTGAAGGCTAGCAGGCTTGCCTGAACACTGCAGCGTTTCTCATTCTGTCGTTTCCTGCGCTGTGAGCTGCTTTATTTGTATGAGCGTGTTTGTATGTGTTTGCTGTGAAGGTCCTCTGTAGATGACTCAGGTAAGCTTGCAGAGATTGTAGACGGAGGAGTTTATCTCACTGGTGTGATTCGCAGCAGACCCACTTCCAGGCTTCAGAGACGTCAGGTGTCCGCTGGCTTGTCGCGTTATAGGAATACCGAGCGTAGATTAAATCTCGCTTGTTCTTTTTTGTTCTCAGCTCTTCTACTACGAGTTGTGTCTTGTTGTCTCGTCCATTCAGTGCAGTAATTGATTGACCCCTCCACTGTTATTGCACTCAGTGCGCTTGTTAACCCATGACGTCCCTCAATACCCACCACCATGTCAGCTGCACCCCGACCAACATCACAAATGAGTTTGATTAGGAGAAGACTGACCCTCTTTGGACTTGGATTCCAACCCATTTCTAATTATGATGATGAATGTGAATTATTTTTAATATGGCTAAAGGCTAATTAGAATAACAGAGTAGAAATGGAGAGATTGTTTTTCATGAATCCCATGACCTCTGAACTTTGCTGTGAGTTTTTAGTTTTGGTCTTTATTCCACAATCACAATCACAATCACAAACATGTTCCTATTTTAGCAGCGCCACGCAGATGTAAAATAGTGGTTTTCTATTGGATGACACATTGACATGGTGTTTCCTCACAAAAACTGTATATAGAACAGTGTTCTTTAGGGATTGTAAAGATTAAATTAATAAACAATAGGAAAACACATAGTTCTAGCATAGTTTCAGCCCTTTAATAGTTAGCTACAGTAGCAACTCTCTCAGTTAGTGCAATGAATTCTTGAGTATTAATAATAGTGCCATAGACACTCTTTGGCTTAAAATGGCTGTTTTAGCTGAGACAGAGCAATATTTGCTCAGAATTCTTCAATAACAGGTAATTTTGGAGTGGTACGTGATATGCCATTAATTTGTTGATGTTTAGTTGTAACATGAGCATGCTGTTATACTATGTGGTAATATTCAAAGTGGATGGCAGTATGGTACTGCATGATTATGGCAAATAATAATTGTCAATTATTTCCTTTGACATTAACTATGTTTCCATCCACCTATTTTTATGCGCATTTTGGAAAATCGCATAAAAAAAAAAAAAAACGTCAAGATGCGCTGAAATTCTAAAAATTTGCATAAAAAACATATGCGCACATTTGAGTAGGATAAACTTTTTATCTGATAAGAAAAAATGTGCATAAACTATGATGGAAACACATTTACAGAATAAATTCCTCCATGCACATCAAAAAAGTCATAACGTTGCGCTATGAGACGGGATAATTTGACTTGCAGCGGACCAATCTCGTTCACAGCATCTATATGTTGTTATGGTCGATCTGAAATGCCTGAGCGAAGTCTGTCGTCAAAGTATTTCTGTATAATTGTCTTACACGACTGCATTCCCAAACAGCTGGCATCCATCTCTGAAAGCAATGACTGCATTTATTGTGTTTCGTCTGCTCGCTCTGAGGTGCAAGAAATATGAAAATTATTATATTCTTCTCCTAGTTTTCTTAGTGATATTTAGTGCCAGTTTACCAGGAAGTGAAAATTTTGTTATCTTTGACTCATTGGATGGAAACGGTGCTTTATTTGCAAATGTTTTATGCAATATTCCAGTTTTGCGCATACGTTTAATTCAAATCTCTGGATGGAAACATAGCTATTGTCATCATGATTATTAATTTTGATTAACTGCATTTATTTAATACTATGATAATGTTGCAATGCCTAAATTACTTGCAGTAACTTCCATGTTTGACTTGAAAATAATTAAATACTTATTGTATGGGTACAATTTTATGTTCTTGCAAATACAATGTTCTCGCATCCCGTATTATTATTATTATTATTATTGTTATTTAGTTATTTATTTTACAGTTGTACAGCCCTACTATATATGGTACAATTCACCGAGTGGTTTAGTTATGTTCTTCGTAAAAAACACAATCGTACAGTGTGACTACTGCAACCTGATTCCTAAACAAGTGCCTCTTATATGCCCTTCTTCCTTCAACACAACCAGTGTAGTCTGATTAGACTAACAGAGTAGTGTCAGAATACCAGAGTCTTATTAATTTTAGAAACCTTGCACTCATCTGCCATCAACTATTTAATGAGCAATTACTTGTGTTCCCCAACAGCAGCCCTGTAGCAGTCTGCGTTAAATTCCTTTCAACATAATTATTTAATTATGTGGCTTTTTATTTATTATTATTATTATTATTATTATTATTATTATTATTATTATTTCATTTTAATTATCTTTCTACCTCAAGGAATAATAATTTCAAAAATCTATTTCCTAGTAGGGCTGCACAATTAATCAAATTTCTAATCGCGATTACAATTATGGATGCCACAATAACGTAATCGTTCAAAGCGGCAAGTAATCGTTCAAAGTCCACTTATGTTATTCTGCACGCTTAAGATGCTTTTTTTCTTTCTGCATGTTATCTTAAGGGTTTTTCCCATTATTTAAATTTTAGTTTTAGTATAACATTATAATACCATTCATATTTTTACATTTTTATAATTTAAAGAAAAAAACAATCAGATGTATATTTGACATTTGAGGCTTAATACTATAGAAAAAACACTAAAAGTTTTTCAGTTAGAGTGTTTTCAGCTTGTTTATTTTCATATAAAAATACGTTATGCAGTTGCATCAAACAATGGTATAAAAATCATTCGATGTAAATTAAATAATCGCAATTACAATTTCAAGGGAATAATCAACAATTATGATTTTTGTCATAATCGTGCAGCCCTA